TGAACCCTCAAACCAGTCATGTGCTCCAACCAGTAATTGAACCCACAACCCATCAGTGCATGAGATGGTGCCCCAAACAACCAAGCCACACCGACCAGAGTCACAGAAAAGCTTTAAGACACCCCCAGAATCTCTAGCTGGGCTGACTGGTAAAGGCCTTTCCTTACATGAAAGCAGCCTGTAAAATCTGTGGGAGGTAGCAACTGAAAAAGTAGTTTTCATTTTATTTAACTTTAATTGATTTTAATTAAAATGTAACTGTGTGGCTAGCAGCTACAGTACAAAACAATGTAGGTCTAAATATTCCAAGTAAAAACAGATATTGTCAAACTGCATTACAGGGTAAAACCCAAATATATGCTGTCTATAAAAAGCTCAATTTAAATATAAGAACACACACAAGTTAGAACTAAAAGAAGGAAAAAGTCAAACCATGCAAACACTAATCTTAAAGAAGTAGGAGTGGCTATGTAATATCAGGAAAAAAGTAGACTTCAGTGTAAAGAATATTACAAGAGGGCCATTTGATGATAACGAATCAGTAAGTTCATCAAGTAGAAAAAATAGTCATAAATATGTATGTACCTAGTAAAAGCACTTCAAAATACATAAAGCAAAAAGTGATAGAAGTGAAATAAACAAATCTACAAATATAGTGGGAGATTTCAACACTCCTCCCTCCATATTGATAAAATGTAGAAAAAGACTATAAAGATACAGAAGACTTCAGGGCACTATCAACTTGACCTAATTGATATTTAATAGACATTCTTTTCAAGTGTACATGAAACATTAACCGAGAAATACCATATGCTATGTCATAAGCTAGTCTCATTTCTTTAAACTAGAAAATGTTTAAAGAACTGGAATAAAAAGATTATGCTCTCTGACCAGAACATAGTAATAGGAAGATATCAGGAAAACTCCCAAATATTTGGAACAGACTTCTAAATAACTCATGGGCCAAGAAGAAATCACATAAAGAAATTTAAATCTTTATATTTAGAATATATTTTAAACTGAAAAAAATGAAAACATATCAAAATGTGTGGAACACAGCTAAAGCAGGGCTCAGAGGGAAATTTACAACTTTAAATGCTTACATTAGAAAAGAAGAAAAACCTAACATCAATGATCTAAGCTTCTACCTTAAGCTAGAGATATAAGAGCAAATTAAATTCAAATAAGTAAAAGGAAGGAAATAATAAAGATAAAGATATGAAAAGGACAATTAGGAAGAGTATTAAAAACTCAATGCCAATAAATCCAACAGCTTATATTAAGTGGACAAATTTCTTAAAAGGAATTCAAAGTTGTTTTAACATTCAAAAGTCAATCAATGTAATTAATCATATTATATAATAAAGGAAGTAAATCGCATAAGGATCTCCATAGGTGCAGAAAACAAACTTGACAAAATTCAACACCCATTCATTAAAAAACAAAACAAAACAAAACAAACAAAAGCCCTCTCAGCTAAATAAGAGCATAGAGGAACTGCCTCGAACTGACAAATTCAGAAAAGGTACTAAGGACATGATAAAACTTGTAACTAACATAAAATACTGAATGCTTTCCCCATAAAACTGGGAACAAGGTCCACCCACACCACTTCTACTTAACACTGCACCAGAGGCACCAGCCTGTGTAACAAGAAATATTAGGCACAGATTCGAAAGGAAGAAATAAAACCGTTTTTATTCACAGATGACATGAATGTACATGTAGAAATTCCTAAGTAATCAGCAGAAAAGATGCTGGGATTACACAGTGAATGTAGTGCCCTGGCTGACATGCCTCAGCTGGTGGGAGCATTGTCCCGTAACCAAAAGGCTGCGGGTTCCATCCCCGGTCCGGACACCTAAGATCCCCAGCTTGGGTGCCGATCCCTGGGTCCAGGAGCATACAGGAGGCAACCAATCCATGCATCTCTCTCGCATCAGTGCTTCTCTCCCTTGCTCTCTCTCCAAGAGCAATGGAAAAAATGTCCCCAGGTGAGGATAAAAAAAAAAAGTGAATTTAACAAGATCACAAGATACAAGGTTAAAATAAAAAAACTATATTTCTATGTGCAAGGCCTGTGCACTGAAAACTAAACGATGTTGTGGAGAGAAATTAAGGAAAAGCTAAAAAATGGAAGAAAATACCATGTTCCTATACTGAAGACTCAACACTATTAAGATGTCAATTCTCCCCAGATTGAGTTTTCCCCGGATTCAGTGCAATCCCAATGCACATCTCAGTAGGCTTTTTTTGTAGAAATTTGTGATCTGATTCTAAAGTTTATATGGAAATTAATGTAAAATGAAAAGATCCTGAAAGTACCCCCAAAATTTTGATAAAAACAAAGTTGGAGTATTTACAATGCCTGACTTCAAGACTTACTAAAAACTACAGAAATTAGGACAAGGTGGTGCTGGCACAAGAACAGACACATAGATCAATAGAACAGAAAAGAAGCCAGTAACAGACCTACACATGATTGCCTGCAGCCACACTGACTGGGATGGGGAGAACTCAATCAAGTGGTAGTGATGTTCAGTACCTAACTGTAGCAGTTACATGGTATATGCATTTGTCAAAACTCACTAACACCTGTACACTCCACTGGGCACTTAAAATGGATGTATTTTATTTTATATAAGTCATACCTAAATAAAGATGCTGTTAGCACATATTTAGAAACAATCCCCCAAAACTTATCATGATTATTAATAAGAATCTGGCCTAGACAAGGACCTACATCCAAAATTACTCCATCCAGCAAAGCTATCATTTAGAATGGAAGGGCAAATAAAGTGCTTCTCAGATAAGGTCAGGTTAAAGGAGATCATCATTACCAAGCCCTTATTATATGAAATTGTTAAAGGGACTTATTTAAGAAAAAGATCAAAACTATGAACAGTACAATGACAACAAACTCACAGTTATGAACAATCAAACCTAAAACAAAAACAAAAACAAACTAAGCAAACAACTAGAACAGGAACAGAATCACAGAAATGGAGATCACATGGAGGGTTATCAGTGGGGGAGTGGGTAGGGAGAGGGGGAAAAGGTACAGAGAATAAGTAGCAGAAATGGTAGGTAGAAGACAGACAAGGGGAGGTTAAGAATAGTATAGGGAATGTAGAAGCCAAAGAACTTATATGTATGTATGACCCATGGACATGAACTAAAGGGGGGGAGGGAATGTGGGTGGGAGGGGTATACAGGACACAGGGGAATGAAGGGGGGATGGGACAACTGTAATAGCATAATCAATACAATATATATTTTTTAAAAAAGTGAAAAAAAGAAAAAAAAAACTCCCAGTCTCACAGGAGAGTTCGTTGGAGAGACCCACAGAATCCTAGAATGTACACAACAAACCCGCCCACCTGGAATCAGCACCAGAAGGGTCCAATTTGCTTATGGGTAGCAGGGGAAGTGACTGAAAGGCAGCTGTGAGCCAAGCAAGTGGCCTTGTTCCCTCTCTGACCACTCCTCCACAACAGTGCCACAACACAGAGAGGTGGGTCGCCACACCCTGGCAAATATCTAAGGCTCCACCCTTTATAATGTAACAAGCACTGAGACAAAAAACATGGCCCAAATGGAAGAACAGATCAAAGCTCCAAAAATACAACTAAGCCATGAAGAGACAGCCAACCTATCAGGTGCAAAGTTCAAAACACTGGTAATCAGGATGCTCACAGAAATGGTTGAGTATAGTCACAAAATAGAGGGAAAAATGAAGGCTATGCAAAGTGAAATAAGGAAAAATATACAGGGAACCAACAGTGAAGGGAAGGAAACTGGAACGCAAATCAACAATTTGGACCAGAAGGAAGAAATAAACATTCAAAAAAAAGAATCTGGCCTAGAAAGGAAACTAACATTTATTGAGGGCCTATACTGTGTCAGACAGTGGGCCCTGCATATTTAATTCTCGTGACCACTGGCTAAGGTAAAATTGCTCACCAGAATTTTTACCCTTTGAAGAAATACTGGGCATCTGCACACTCATCAGCCAACTAAGTGGGAAGTGCAAGGGTCAAGCCCAAGCGCATCGCTAATGAATGACCAAGTTGCCACCACCACCATCCTCTTATGTCTTCCCTACAAAAACTCTTCCACCAAAGCTTACTGCCCACCAAACCCATTTTTTAAAAGAAAATTGTTGAGTTTTTCTAACTTTCCAAGAAAAATCAATCTGAAAATAGAGGACAGAGCCCTGACCGGTGTGACTCAGTTGGTTGCGCACCATCCTGCAAAGTAAAAGGTCACAGGTTTGATTCCTAGTCAGGACACATGCCTGGGTTGTGAGTTTGGTCACAAAGGAGAGGCTACCAACCAATTTTTTTTTCCTCACATCAATGTTTTTCTCCCTCTCTTTTTCCCTCTCTTCCCCTCTCTCTCACAAAAAGAAAAAATAAAGAAAATAGGGGCAGAAGGATCATGAACTTAAATAATCCATATACTGGATAGCCAGCTCCTGAACAAGGACAGGCTCACCCCTATGTGTTAAATGCCTCAAGTGTAAAAAAATACCCCCATACTAGACTCAGAAAGAAAAGTACTAGGAGATTCTAATATAAGAGTCTGACCAGCTAGTTCAGTGATAAAACAATAAGACTCTTCAGTGGTACAATTCCCCCACTGGGATTTTCATACTTTGAAACTCTACACAAACCACTACTTAGTTGAACCACCTATCTGTTATCCTGCTAAAAACAAAAATTCTGAACTTTAACATCTAAAAGTGCTTGGCAAATAAAAAGCCACATATCGTGGCCAGAGTCATTATTGCTATAAATGTTATAAAAGACATAAAAATATCCAAAAGAGAGTGGTAGAAAATATAAGAGCCTCTGTAAAAACTTCTGCATTCAAGAGGAAACGGTGGAAAAGACCTTCTGAAAACTTCAAGATGCAGCTAAAAGTAGAAATAAATGTGTACTTATCTTTGGTATCAAATCAATACCACCTCACTAGTTCACAGAAACAGCAGTACTTACAGTTATGTGAGCACTGAGGGATCATCATGGCGATGTTGAAATATTCAAAGCAAATTCCGCACCGCAGCAAATCGTCTACTGTCTGAAACGTAAACACACATGTATACGTATCAGAAAGATACCAAGATCAGAATGGCTGGCACAGAACTCTTTCTCCATACCCTAAAAAAATAGTAATTTATAATACTTTTCTCAAATATACAAACTCAAATGAAAAATCCACATAAATTGCAGGGGACTTGAATGAGAGGAAAACCTCCCCTATATGACTCTTACACATTCAAATCTCACGTTACCCGAAACACTTTAGATGGACAAAGCTGACACTGTATAGATTCCTATGCAATATTGTTACCCCTTCACAAAAGGGCCACTCTGTTCCTGCTCCACTTCCCAAGTGTTTCCACCTCTTACTCCAAGCTGCCTCCTCTTCAGACCCTGCCCCCTGGCCTGCAGTCACTGCTAGGTGAAGGGTACCAGTAGCCAGTCAGCACACAGGTTAAAAACCAAATCAGAGAATATTAAAGCCAAGCATTAGAAATTATCTAATTAAAACCCCTACTTCATGAATGAGGAAATGTGTATCCAGAGCAGGCACAAGTGGGGCATGAGACCAGCCAGAACTAAACTTCCCGTCACCCTTGTGGCAGCTGCGTGGTTGTACAGTGCAGCCAGATGCAGAAGCCCTGCAGACACTGGAGCCAGTGATAGTGCAGGGATGTGAAGAGGACAATCTGGAAAGTCAGACAGACGCGTGCCAACCTGGAAAGCAACTGACAGAAAAGGATCTATTCTCAAAACCCCAAATCTTTTAAATCATTTAAAGTAAAATGTTATTCCTTTCCACAGAATACTGAGAAGATATTTAAGAGAAGACAAAAAAGGTAGCTCTCTTATGCACTGATATGGAAAGATTGCCAAAATAAGTGCAAAAAGACAATACATACGGTGGGCTACCTTTTGCTTAAAAGGGAGGGGAAATAAGAATGTATTATATTTTTATCTTGTATATAAATAGGTATAAAGACATCCTGACAAGAAACCTAAAAAGGTAACAAATAATGGTCACAGAGGTTCGGAAAGGGACAAAGTTGGGAGGCAGACTTTAGCTTTTAATTTCATGTATTTTTTGAACTATATGAGCATATTATCTAAATTTTAAAATACAAACAAGAAAAGACTAATGTCATTTAATAACCCATATGATGAAATATTATGTAGCCATTTTAAAAAGTGCTTTCATACAAAAATGCCATGGGAAAATGTTCTTGTTTTAATGAAACTTTCCCAAAAAATCAGAGAACAAATCTACAATACATAATAATGGAACTATGTAGTTGAATCCATAGCAATCCTACGAAGTCTATAGCATCTGTACCCCAGTTTTATAGACTAAGACTACAGAGCTTAAAAGCAGTTGGATCAAACCCAAGAAACTGACTCCAAAGTGACCCCAAATTTTAAATGCATATACTCACTGCGGATACGTGCTGCACGAGCACGCACGTGGTCAACGAAGGAAATGAGAGAAAGCGTCAAACAGTGGTTATCTCGGGATGATAGGGTCTTGGGCAACTTTCACTTACTCCTTTCTCTCACCCTGAATTTTAATTTTTTTCTACTATATCCACATACATTTATAAACTATCAAAGCTAGGAATTTTTGTTATGGTTAAACCAGGGAAAAAAACATTGAAATAACAAAAATCTTCCATTATTTTTTAAGATTTATTTATTTTTAGAGAGAAGAGGAAGGGAGGGAGAAAGATGGAGAGAAACATCAATGTGAGAGAGAAATATCACTCAGCTGCCACTGAGGACTGAACCCGTAGGCACGTGCCCTGACCGGAATGAAGTGACCTTTTGTTGTGCAGAACAACGCCCATCAAACTAAGCCCCATCAAACTAAGCCATGTCCGTCAGGGCTCTTCCATTATTTTGCATGATAAGCTACCACTGACACAAAAGGCAAGAGGATTGTATTGAAAATCAATTAAGAGCAGAGGTAGAGCTGGAAGCCCGAGTCCTGGCATCTAGTGTCTTATACTTCCTTCAGTGTAACCATCCTCTTCTGGTGGAGGAGTGGTTCTGACCCATCTGCTGAGCGAGATCTGTGCAAGGTGACACCACAGCAGATGAGCTATAAAATTCTCGAACGAATTTCCAGTCAGGCCATTTCAAGACAGTCATGCATGCCAACACGTGCTTGTTGACCCAAACAGGAAGTGGTAAGGTGAGCGTCCCAGGATTTTTTTAACTTAGAGAGAGTGCAAGGGAGAAGGAGGGAATGGGTGAAAAGACAATAATGAAAGCACAAGTTCTTAAGTTTTGGGAAGTCACAGATTCCTTTAAGAAAATGGATGAAAACTATGGACTCTCTTCTCATATGAGCATACAGACAAAAATTTTATAAATAATTCAGACACCAAAGTCTTTCCATGGGCACTAGATTAAGAACCATGGATATGGGGACAGATTTCCATATAAGAAAGAACTTCAAACAGAGCTATTTCTAGGAGCAGCTAAATAAGGGTCCAGCAGAAGTAAGGCCTGCTTGTGTGGCTGGTAGGGTAATAACATGGGTGTCACAGTTTAGTTTTAATTTGAACATTTCACCTAAAATGTCACATGGTGTGCTTGAGTGTGATATTGTTATGTTACAGAATTACATGCTTATGATTTTGTAATAAAAGATTGTGTCATAAAAAAGGGATGTTGTCTGTGCCGGCCCCTGCATTTGTTCCTGGAGGAATTCAAGCAAATACCAAATGAGAAGTTGGCAGAATACATTATAAAAGGGATTAAAACAGTGGATGGGGCTGGCTTTCCAACCTTATGATTTCATGATTCTAATATGGGTTCAATCAGCTCTATCACTGAACACTCACTCTCTGGTGCTGGACCCTCCGTTTAGTGCTGTGGTGAGATATCAAAGCCACAGAAGACATGGAACCTGCCTCTAAAGAACACGGTGGGAGTTGTAAGAATATATAAAATATGCTTCCATCTACAAACAGGTAGCTTTATAAATTACAGAGTTTTCACTTCCTTTATCCAGTTCAATCTTCACAACAACAAATAAAAAGGAGTTGAAAAGTTAACATATGTTACATGCTAATAATAAGACATATCAATTGAATGCTTACCTTCCAGATACCTTCAATCAATTGGCAAATAATTTCTGAGCACCCACCATGTGCCACACATTGTGTTAAGTACAGTAAGTCAGACAGGATCCCTGTCCATACATGTCAACTCGTTTAACCAACCCTATACAGTTTCTCTTTGCTTCCAGTTTAGAGTCAAGGAAATTCATGCTCAGAGCTTTAGTAACTCACTCAAGGTCACCCAGGTAAATGAGAGGCAGAGACCAGATTCAACCTGAGACCATCAGTGCTCTTCTCCACTGCCAAGGACACCACAACTTCAAAACCATAGCTTTCCTCGATCCGTTCCACAGTGACAGCTGTCACCATGGGGCTCTCTCTCAAGTCCCCAAGAACTACAGATGACACTGATGATATCAGGAAGAGTAAGGTCTCATGATTACTTTAACTTTCCACAAGTTCCCTTCCCTTAATCCTCAAAGTCAGCCTTTTGAGTCAGTGGGACAGAGACCATAATCCCCAAGCTAACAAAACTGAGGAAGAGAATGAGGTGATCTTGCCCACAAAACTGAAATGATCACATTGCAAGGAGAAACACCAAGCAACTGATTCTTAGCACAGGAAAATGTATTTGCTCTTCACTAAATACAGCTGAAATACAGGGCTCCCTGCTACTGGTAAGTGGAAACCGAAACGCCTTGCCAAAAACCAAAGTAGCCTCAAAGTCAATGTTATTTAAACGAAGTAATTCAATTAAGTGAAAGGCTGGCTAGTGCTGAGACTTTAAACAAAGAGAGTTCTGATCTTTTTGTTTAAAAGGGAGACATGCACAACTGTTAGGAGTTAGGACAGTTAAGGAGAGCAAACCAGCACTTGGCTTACTGAGGATAGTAAGAACAAATAAAACAGAATGTAAAGGAAACCATATGCTTCCCTAAGTGATCAAATAAATGCTTTTTTGATGCAAGGTCTACCCGAAATCATGTCCAGTGACATTTTGGGAAATCCTCAAATAATGTGCTGCGAGCGTTTACATAATGCTTAGCACACAGTAAACCCTTAGAAAGGGTTAGTTGTCCCCGTCGTTTTCACCGTTCACAGTAACTTTTTTCTCGAGGTCACTGTTGTCGTTGTGGCTAAACTGCAGAGTAGCCGGTTCAGTAAGACCGCCAGCCTCAGTTCACCATAAGGGGCCGAGGCCCCAGGAAACTGCGGCCCAGAGACACGCGGATGGTAACTTGCAGAGCTGAGCCGGGGGCACCCGGGGCCAAGCTGGCCGCCTCCGCCGCCAGGTCCTCCGAGGGCGGGGCCGGTTACCCACAGATACCTGGGCATCCCCAACCTCCCCGAAGCACTCACCTTCAAGACTTCCAGGCCCGGAGGCCACCGAGGTTCGACTAGAGAGTTCATGGCTACTCCTGGGGGCTCCACTGCCCACTGACCTCCCGCGCTCCACTGCCACTCGAAATTCCCCGCGCTACTGCGTTACCGCCGCAGTCCGCGACGCGCGGGCTTCATGCGCGGTGCCTGCCGGGAATTGTAGTACCTGGGCAGAGCGCAGCCAAAGATGCTATTACTGCGCACGCGCCAGACGTGTACACCTTTTGTAGCAGAAGTCAAGCGGTTAAAGGTCCACATCCGGTTTTGTATCAGACCTTTAATAAATAAGTGCATGTTGAATGTTGGGAAAAGACAGCCAGGTATCAAACCAAATCCATACGTTACCAAACCTACCAAGGTCTCGGCTAATGTCTTCTTTAAGTTGCTCTCCCTGATTGCTATAATCATCTGTCCCGGCCCTGAGCAGAGGTTTTCATATCTATTATTTCATTGAATCCTATCACGATGTTGGGAGGTAGGCATCATCATTATCAGTTTACATAAAAGGAATCTTCTGCTCAAAAAATTGAGCCCTGGGTGGTGTGGTTCAGTGGGTTGTATGCCGGCATGTGAACCAGAGGGTTGCTGGTTGGATTCCCAGTCAGGGCACATGTCTGGGTTGTGGGTCAGGTCCCCAGTTGGGGGAGGGGGTTAGGAAGATGTGCAAAAGGCAACCCATCATATATCTCTCACATATGGATATTTCTCTCCCTCACTTTCCCTCTCTCTGAAAATAAATGAATAAAATCTTTTAAAAAATTGAATAGGGCTTTCCTGAGTCACAGAGTATCATTGCCCCGATTATACAAACAGGGCCTCAGGACTTTAAAGGCGTGCTTTTCTTTTATTAAATTAAATTTTTAATATAAAGTTCTCCCCTTTCTTAACCACCTTAACTTTGTGTAGCTTTCCAGATATTTCCTGTGCAGATACATAGATAAGGTTTTATTCCACAAATATTATATTAAATGCATTGCTCTGTCAACTTGAGTTTTTCTGTTTGTTTACTTAACCATACTCATACATCTTGAGACCTCTGGATGTTAATACATAGAGCTTTACTTCATTCTTTTTAATGGCTATTTAGTCCATAATATAGATACACCGCAATTTCTTTTGTCTACTCCCATACTGAGGAATATTTAGGTTGTTTCCAATTTTTCACTATTGCAAAGACTTGCAGAAAGCACACTTATAAATCTTGGCACACTTGAGCCAAGACATCTGGTGGGTGACTTTCTGTAGATAAAACTACCAGGTTAATTTGTTGATACTTTTAAACTGTGCTAGCTAGCACTATGTGGTTTTCCAAAAAGGCTGTACCAATACATTTACACTCTCACCTAGTGTCGGAGTACCTATTATCCAAATACAAAGAGCTGACCAGCAAAGCACCCAGCCTGTCTGCTCAACTCAGCACTCACCCATTGCCCTAGGTGGGTCTCCACTGTGTGAGGTCTCATGGGCAGCAAGTCAACACAGTTATGCTGCCCAGGGCACCTTGCCATTGCCACCCAGCATGATCTATGCATTCATTCATTCAACAGATGTTTTTCTAAGTGCTGACCATTGGCACTCACTCTTCCTTATGAAGCAGGCAGAGGTGGGGGTGTTATTGCCATTTTATAGACAAAGACACTGAGGCTCAGAGAGGTTAAGGTTCCCTTCTTTTGGCCTTTCTTCATAAGGAGCCTGTGGCCCCTGAGTCAGACCTGCACTCAACTGATTTTTCCCAAACACTCATTGGGCAATAATAATAATAATATGAATAGCAGTTGGACAAAGGACTTTAATATCCATTATAATAATAGCTGACATTTATTAAGCACTTGCATTGTTCTAGGTATTTTTATCCATATTGACTTATTTCAGACCCACTCCAACCAAATCAGAAAAGAGAAGTAAATGGGAAACTCATTTAGTGCACTCTGCTGTTAAGTGAAAGAGGGAGGATTTGAATTTGGGTAGTCTGGCTTAAGAGTCCACATTAACCATTACAGAATAGTCTCATAAGGCCCTCATTATGAAAAGTATTCCCATTTTATAGACATGGTCTTTGGGTCTCAGAGAGGCAAAGAAACTCATTCAAGATCACACAGTTTGTCAGTGGCAATGTCCAGCCTTGAACCTAGGTCTTTTAACCCCAAACCAGAAAGGATCACCCATCGACATTTTATGAAGGAATAATTGAGCAGACAAGGCAGGAAGGCAGAAGTCTGAGGATCCCAGGATGCTGGACCTAGTGGGGTTTCAACAGGGAGGTGGGGAAGGGAAGGGAAGGATAGAGGCTACAGTGGGTTTGTATCCGCCAATCAGAAAAAAGTATGCAAATGAACTCCTTGTTGAGTCCAGTGGTTTTGGCTACCTAGATCTGGATGCTGTGATAGTGGGGTGGGTTTGGAGAGACAAAGGTATTGGGACAAAGACCAGGTCCCCCACCTGAGTGCACCAGTAGTTGTTCCTTTATGGTCCTAGTTATTTACAGAGTAATTAGGTTTAACGTGACAAAGAGCTAGTAGATGAGAGAAGAGAAGAAAAGAAAAAAATGGGAAAGGAAAGAGAGAAGAAGGGAAAGAAATGTACTCTTCCCCTTCAATCATGAAGACAGATTTGGGAGCAGGCATCCGTTGTTGGTCTGATGGTCCAGAGTCCTCTCCCTGAGTCTGGATAGCCTCCAGAGCAGCATTCAATCCTATTCACCTCTGAGTTCCTGCCACCAGCTGCCTAGTGAGACTGAATGAATGAGTGAATTACCAGAATAAACCCACATTCCTATAAATCTTTTCCTCCCAGGTTGAGCAGCTCTGTTCCTGTTCTCTTTAACAGCGCCCACTCAAGTGCACCTTGGACCTGGGAAGCAAAGTCACAGGGCACAAGCAGGTCTGAAGGCCCCCCTTGACTCAGAGCAAGGCACCTGTCTTGCCTCCCCTGTGGTATTTATCCACCCTGGGAGCCAATCTCTTCTAACAAGCTGCTGTTTCCATGGATATTGTCCTTCTGTTAAATAAATAAAGAGACCACACTTCCTTTTTCCGGAGTAAAAACAAAATGTTCCACATTGAAAAAGCGGTCCAGTGCTCAGTGGAGTCTTGCATAGCACTTAATGCGAAGGGAGGGACCGGGAGAGGGCCACCAGGCAAAGTACAGGATGCCAAGGAAATTTTAATTTCACACAAGTAGCAAACATTTTTTAACATAAGTAGATCCCAAATATTGTACATGACATACTTATATTAAGAATTATTCCGATTATCTGAAATTCAAATTTAACTGAGTGTTTATTTGCCAAATCTGATGACCCCAATCAGGGGAACATGCTCCCAGCTGAGCAAAGGGCCTGGCTTCACTGCACCTGGAGGAGTTCCAGGGCCCTGAGCTCCTTTCCAGGGTCTCCCTTCCTCTCTGGCCTCCATTCTCTCTTCCTCCAGGACCCATCCTCATTCTTGTCATGAGAGGGAGGCTCAGGCCTTATCTCCTCTTCTCTCCTGTCCTTCTTCCCTCCACTCTTGCCTCTGTTTTAATAAATGTTTATTGAGTTGCTACCCACCCGTGCCAGGTGCTGGAGTCCAAAGGTGCCAAAGGTGACTGAGGGAGTCCTGGTCCCTGCTGTCAGGGAGCTGACACCCTGGGTGGAGGATGAGGCCAAGACAGAAACAAGCCAGTATGTTAAGAAATTGAATAGCTAATTTAATATAATGGTAAGCAATGTGAAAACAAAACAGGATGTTGTGCTAGAGAAGGGAAGACACTATCAACTGGATGATCTGGGAAGACCTCTCCGAGAAGGTGACGGTTATGCTAGGACCCAACTGATAAGGTAGAGGCAACCCTGCAAAGACCTGGGGATGATAAAGAATTTGGATAGTAATCCATGAGGACTCTGGCAATTTACTGAATCTCTGTGCCTCAGTTTTCTCATCTGTAAAATGGGGATGATAACAGTATTTATCTTATAAGATATTGTAAGAATTAAATGAGTTATTGTAAATAAAATTCTTAGAACAGTGCCTGGCACCTAACAAGCACAGTGTGTCAGCTGTCATTATTATAGTGCTGCTATAAGCACAGGGGAAGCCCTGGGAGTATTTTAGGTGTGTGTCAGGGGAGGGGGCATGATCTGATTTACATTTTCAAAATGTCACCCTCTCTGCTGGGTGAAGAAGGGATTTTAGGACTTCCAGCCAAAATGGAGGCATAGGTAGACACACTGTGCTTCCATGCACAACCAAAAGAAGAAGAACAACAATTTAAAAACAAAAAACAACCAGAACAGACACAAAACTGAACTGTATGGAAGTCTAACAACCAAGGAGTTAAAGAAGACACATTCGTCCAGACCGGTATAGGAGGGGCTGAAACAGGCAGTCAGGTAGAGAGGACTCTCAGCATGGCAGCTGGTGGACCCAGCAAGATGATGGGTTGTGAACCCAGCAGTCCCACATTTGCACGCAGATAAACTGGGAGAAAGAACTGGGGAGCTGAATGGACTATGCAACCCAGGGCCCCAGAGCAGGGATATAAAGCCTCAAACCACTGATTTAAAACACCTGTGGGGGTTGAGGCAACGCGAGAAACTCTCAGCCTCACAGAAGAGTTCGTTGGAGAGACCCACGGGGTCCTAGAACGTGCACAGGCCCACCCACCAAGAATCAGCACCAGAAGGGCTCAATTTGATTGTAGGAAGCGGGGGAAGTGACTAAAATCTAGCAGAGGGCGGAACCAGCACCATTGTTCCCTTTTGGACCCCTTCCCCACAAACAGCCTCACAATGCAGTGACATGGGTTGCCCCACCCAGGGAACACCTAAGGCTCCGCCCCTCACTACATAACAGGTGCATCAAGACAAAAAAAAATAACTCAAATGGAAGAAGAGATCAAAGCTCCAGAAAAAAATACAACTAAGCGATGAAGAGATAGCCAACCTATCAGATGCACAGTTCAAAACACTGGTAGTCAGGATGCTCACAGAATTGGTTGAATTTGGTCACAAATTAGATGAAAAAATGAAGGCTATGCTAAGTGAAGTGAAGGAAAATCCACAAGGAACCAATAGTGATAGGAAAGAAACTGGGACTCAAATCATCAGTGCAGACCAGAAGGAAGAAAGAAACATCTAATC